CTTCAAGCTTGGGAAGGCTTCCTAGAACCAAGATACCCACATCTGACAACGTGGGTTGTGATGAAAAATGAATCAACTGTGCTCTTCACTTCTCCCCCATGGCCTCTCTGACCTTGCTTGGAAGTTCAGCTCGACCCTGGGGGTTCAAGAGTAAACCTTGCTTCCCATAATCCTGTTCTCCTTCCCAGAGGTTGGGTTACGTGTGATCACGGGAGCAGTTCCGACCAATGAAAAGTGAGGAGAAGCCGCTGGATAAAAAAATTGGATTCTTCTTTCTTTCTTTAATATGTCTTTGTTGATTTCAGAGAGAGGAAGGGAGAGAAACATCAATGATGAGAGTCATTGATCGGCTGCCTCCTGCGTGCCCCCTACTGGGAATCGAGCCCGCAACCGGGGCATGTGCCCTGACTGGGAATCAAACTGTGATCTCCCGGATCCTAGGTCGATGCTCAACAGCTGAGCCACGCCGGCTGGGTGTTGAATTCTTCTTTCACTGGCCTGCTCATGCCTGATGTGACACCTGCACCAGGACAGGGGCCTCATGGCTGCCATCCTGTGGCCCCATCCTGTGGCCCTGGAGGAAGCTGGCCTAAAAGCAAAGCTGTTCCAGTGAGCTTGCCGAGTGGAAATACAGGGCGAACTCTGGCCCTTAGTGATGCCGCCGAGCTGCTGCATTAACCAGCCCTGCAGCTGCCCTACCTTGGGACATACGGTCACTTTTCCTTTATTCTGCTTGGGACTGATATTGTTACTTGCACCCCAAAGCATCCTAACTAATACAGAGGGGATATGCAGCAAAAAGCAGAGGGAGGGAGTCTTTTCCAGGTTCTTAAGTTCCGAAATAAGAGAGAGCCTGCGTGCCCAGCCAAAAGCTTTGGGAGAGGGTGCGTTAAATACACAGTCCTCTCTCCCCCAACCCCCAAGATGGCCCTGGGGGAGATGGGACAGAGGGGAAGCAAGGAATGTGCCATTGATGGAGTTCCTGGCCAAAGTAGATCCTATAGATCCCATCCCCTCCACCCCAGCTGAGCCTGGGGTGGGGGAAGGTACAGAGAAGACCCCCTGCTGATTTGGGACATCTGAGATTCAGAGGGGTCATCATCTCTCCACAGGTAGAGCCCTGGGGAGGCAGCTGAGACCCCAAAGAAGAAATGGCCACATGGTGCATCCAAGCAGATGGGACCAGGCACCTCTGCAGAGAGGACCTGGATGCCCCAAGAGGAATGAGGGCCCAGGAGGCTGGTATGTGGGCGGAGCCAGGAGCGTGGAGCAGATGGGACACTGACACACTCAGCAGATGCCATGTGAGCATGCAGTGCCAGGGACTCGTCTCTACTGCCAGGGAGGGGCACTTCAATGCACCCCACCCCCAGAAATGTGGGAAAGGAAACCCCAGCTGGCCAAAAGCACATTTCTTTGACCTCAGCGAAAGGAAGTGCCTGATGGAAATTAAGTTTAGCCCTGGAAAAATAAAACAGGTTCTAGTTCATGTACGTCTGAGTTTGTGACGTCAGTTTACCTCCAGTGCTGAAAGGCAGTCAGCCAGATGAAGGTCCGCCCTCCGCACCTCCTCCTGCACCCTGCCGCTACCCCGCAGAGGGTCCCGTTTCCTCCACGTGCCTGGACCCCAATTACTACCTTCTCCAGCCCACACCACCACCTCCAGGCTTCAACTTCACACCCCCTCCTGACCTTGCCCTACAACCCCGATGCTTCCGGGCCACCCAGCCTCCCATCCGGCTGGGTTTGCAGGCCCGGGGCGCCCAGCCATACGGCTTTGGCCCTGCTCGCTCCCGACTCGTGTCATGGAAATCCCTTCTTCCTCTCTGGCTCCAGCTCTCCCCGCCTTGGCCCCACCCATAAGGTCCTTGCCAGCTGTTTCTGGTCGCGTTGAGTTTCTGCCCACGTTTGCCTTCCTCCAGATGTCCACGTGGCAGGACGTGGCTACCGGGAGGAGCCTGCGGGGCTGGCGGGGAGAGGGAGCCCCGAGAGCGGTGCGCGGTTCCAGCCACGGATTCTTGCTCCCCGCTGCTCCTCTGCTGCTGCCCAGCACAAGCCATTCAGCCAGCACACACGCTGGAGCGCCCACTACGTGCCACCACCAAGAACGCACATTTGGTCCTCACTCGGAACCAAACCGAGGCTCTCAGGGAGGAACCGACAGGCCCAGGTCGCCCGCCCGGGGAAATACTGTTTGTTCTGAGCCAGGAGCTGTTTTCAGGGCATGTAGAGCCGGGATCAGAAGCCTCTGGCCTGGCTCCGGAGCCCACACACCGAAATTTGAGCTTCTCTGAAAAATTTCAAGCCCCTGTCGCATGCACTTTATATTTTCCAGGACAGTCAGCAGTAACTTCACATTTTCTGTCCCGTCGTTAGTCCATAGGCCCTAATTGGGTTCTGAAAATACCGTCATGAATACAGCCTCGAACACCCCCAAAGGCTTCAACGGGCAAAAGAGCACAAATTTTAAATCCGATTCTGCAAGTAAGGGTAGCAATGGGGTCTGGAGAGGCGGGACGAGTTACCCAGCAGCCTTCAGCTCCAGAGTCAATCGGGTGGCTCACCTGGCAAAGCTGGCCCAGGAGTCCTCCTGCCCAGGCCTGCCCTCCCTCCGGCATCAGAGAAAGGCTTGTAGGAGCAGCACTGTCGGGGAGACGCTTTGCCTGGCTGGACCCCCACCTGGCTACCTCTTCCCACCCCTCTGCTAGTAAGCCTCTTGCCTCCTCTCAAGTCCAGTGGGGACACAGCCCTCTCCCCAAAGATGACAGTCACAATTAACCCAGTTTCCAGGTATTGTTCCATGTCCCCCCTGAGACTACATCACAGGCCCCGTCTCCAGCCCGGCCCTCCGTAATCCATGCTCCATCAGTGACCTGCCTCTCAAATCAGCTCTAACCGGTGCCTGCGCTGCTCAGAACCCTCCAGCCCCTCCCCAGCACCTAGGAGGTCAAGGCCAGACTTAGCCTGATAGTTAAGGACTTTCACAGTGTGGTCCCTACTTTCCAGTCTCAAAGCCCATCCTATGCTCTCTCGCTCTCTCTCTTCCTCCCTCCCTCCCTCCTTTCCAAACATGTATCTAGCATACTGGTATTTCCCACTGTCCAGAATGTAGACTACATTGTCCCATCTCCATTCATTCATCCCATTGTTTTCTTTCCCCATAACACGTGCCTTTCAAACTCTTAGTCATCCTCCAAGGCCCAGCTTAAATGTCCCCTCCACTAAGAAGCTTTCCCTGATTACTCCCTTCAGAATTCTTTTCTCTCTTTCCCATATTCCCATGTGGCAGAGGAAGGAGGTTCTGTATGTATCTCCTTCCCGGGAAAGCCGAGGACTTCCAGACACACCCTACCCAAGCCCACGGAATGGTCTGCCCCTGGTTTCAACTCAGATACTGTCCTACCACCCTTTTCCCTCAATATTTTCTGCATTTGCCCCAGGCCACCCAACCAAGCAATGGCAAAGCGGTGGGGGGAGGTCCCTCGACTCCCATTTCATGGGCTGCTTCTCCTCTTTGCCCTCCCCTCCCTTCCCTTCCTTGTTGCCTAATATTTCAGAGAAAAAAATGTCATTTACGTAACTTAAAGGATGGCCCCGGGGTGAGGAGGTGGCTATGTGGGCATTTCGCCAGCTCACTGGAGTCAGCAGGACTAAGCATTGCAGCTCTCCCAGGGAACGTTGTCCTCACAGACCTGGCAGCAGGTTTGGGGGCCTCTAGTCTTCCAGGGCTCGCCCAGTCCCCATCAAGACCTTGCCTATTGGGACAGTCTCTATTACAAAGCTCTAGTGGCTCTGACCATCCATCCAGGCTGTGCCACTAAGTCAGGAACTGGGATCCCGTGGGGGAAACCGGCCCAGACAGCCCAGAGGCCACCTCTGAATGGGGGTTGGAAGAAATGTCTGCAGCGGGTCAGATGAGACAGCAGAGGGGCTGCCCATATGAGAGCCCTGAACTAATGCAGTCTGGAAATGTTGGGGCCTTTGGCCTCAGTTTGCACAGGACAAACTTCAATTCTCCTGCAGGTGCTTGGCAAGAAGTTTCTAAAATCTAAAGCTTTGTTGCCTCGGCAGTCAGCAATCCGCCATCCGCATGATGTCCATGAGCAAAGGCTCCTGTCTGGCACTGGGGCAACCTTTACTGCCAGGGCCCCCTGGGTAGCCTCTGACGGGCCTGTGCGAGAGCCCGTCTGCCCGACTAGGCCGGCCACTGGGCTTGGCGAGTCCTGGGGAGTTATGGTGGCTCATTCTTTATAGAACGCTCTTCCCCATGGTCCCAGACAGCCATCAAACACGGTGATAGGCACCCACGGTGGAGCAGAGTGCCCCTGTCTCAAGTCTGCAAGGGGAGCGGACAGGGATTAGTTTAAATGTACTATGTGAGTAGCCACCTTCTAGGTTAGAAAGTCAGCCCACTGTACAACGTGCTGTGTGTTTCGCTCCAGAGAATGTCCAACAGTTCTACAAATATTAAACATAAAACACGAGACAAAATCCCCAGGTGAGAGCCTGGGCTCGTTCAGCACTGACCAGAATGTACACTTTATAGGTGTTCTCCAAGGGAAGTGATGGGTTGTGCTCCTTACTGCAGCCTCTGTGCCTAGTGGGGCACCCAGCACACAGTAGGTGCTCAACAGGTGTGGTTCAAAGGATGAACTTGGCACCCACCAGGCAACCTCTCTCCTAGTCCTGATGGCCACCCTCTGAGGTAGATTATCATGATCCCTGTCACAGACAAGGGAACAGGCTCAGAGGAGTGGGGACTTTCCAGAGGCCACAGCCAGGGTGTCGTACCACAGACTTTGAATTGGTTCTACTAACTCCAGAGTGCACCGGCTGCCTGAGTGACTGAGGGGGCTGATTTCTTTGTGGGTGGGGAGCCTGCAGAGTGGAGCTCTAGGCTGCCTCAGTCTCTCCGGAGCTCTGGATCTGGGCACCAGGGGATCTAGGACTGGCTGCCCTCCCAAGGATGCCGAGCAGAAAGAATCAGGCTGAACCGCCAAGAAGACACGCAACCTTTAATCACGCTGGACAAGCAGGGCAGGGGCAGACGGGCTGGGAGTGGCTGTGCAGCATCGGCCTTCGCACTTGGTCAGGCCCTGCCGCCATCACCAGCACTTAGCCGTGGCTCCCTTGGCTATAAGTGAGCACCAACCACCACCGGGCTCCCTCTTCCCGGAGTCTGCATAAGCACCAATGGCTGGAGGCCACCTCCGTTGAGGGAGAGGGTCAGGCCACCTGGGTTGGGGGAGTGGAAGGCTGAGGGCCACCAGGCTGCCCTACCTGGGAGTGGGAGAAGGGACAGAAAGCCTGATGTCCCTTGCTTGGCCTGGACCTCTCTTGGCATCATGGCTCAGAGGAGGGTCCTCCGACTGACCTGAATGTTACCCGCTTCAGTTCCCCAGACCTGCTGAGGGGTCCGAAGCCTGGAGCCTCTGCCTGGCATTTCCAAAGGCCGCACCAGGCCAGAGGAGACCCTGCTGGATCTTCAGCACCTTAAAGCTAGAAAGCGGGGACACTGGGCTGGCGAGATGGTCCAAGGAGGGTCAGAGAGCACCTGGGACAGATATCAATGGCTAACAATGGCTAGGAGCTTGGGAGAACTGAGGCCCAGGAGCCTTTGGCAAGATGGGCTGAGCAAGGTCTTGACGGAGGCCCAGGACAGCAGGGAGGGGGTGCTGTAAGGACAGGAGTCCTCACAGGTGACCATACCAGCTGCATGGGAAGCTATGGGTCTGGAATCCCTTCTCCAGGGGCTCCCTCATTCTTGCCCTGACCAAGGCCCCTTGGGGGGGGGTGCTTTAATAACAGGCATTGAGGAGGAATGAGAGTAGGCAGAACCACCCCCCCACCTCGGGGACCCTGTCCTACCAACCTTGGGGAGCCTTGGGTCATGAGGGGCCATGGTGTCTGAATGCCCGGAGCCCAGACTTATGTGACAAGAGCACCATGCGTTTCTCTGGGTCGGGTCTCAGAATCCTCTGTGTCTGATCCACCCCAGCTTTCCCAGGGCCTGGCACAGAGTGAGCACGGTGAGTGCTGGATGAACAACTAAATAAGCGGCTGCACAGGTGGGAGTGCAGATGATAGAGAGAGAGTGAGGGAGGAGAGGGAGTCCCAGAGAAATGAGAATGTTTAAGGATGTTGTGATGATTCTAGAATGTTTAGAGGATTCTGGAATGTTCAAGAAGTACTAGAATGTTGTGAAAGTTCTAGAATATAGTTACTCCAGTGGGGCCCACAGACCAGCAGTGTAAGAATCACCCAGAAACTTATTAGAAATGCAGAGTCCTGGTCCCACTCCATGCCTACCTGATCAGAATCTGCATTTTAGCACAGTCTCCAGGTGACTCCTATGTGCATTCAGGTTTGAGAAGTACTGGTCCAAAAGGTTGGGAAAGGTCTAGAATATTTAGGTTAGACAGCTTCTCAAAGTATGTTCCAGAGAGGAGAGCAGCAGAAACAGACTGGGAGGGAAGGAAAGAAGAGGAGGGCTCCCCGGAGTGCCAGGCCCCATGGGCCCACTTTACAGAGGTGCACACTGAGGCCCTGCAGGGGATAGACCACCCCACACGGGAGCTGCCCCAGTGCAGGCACTAATCGTCCTCAGGCTTGATGAGGTGGCCACTGAAGGTGATGTAGATGTCCACGTCGTCGCTGTAGATGGCATTCTCCCGCTCCCGCTTGAAGAGCCGCGCCCAGACGCGGTCGCTGGGCGCCAGGGCCAGCATCACACTCTGGCTCTGCATGATGCTGCGGTCGCTGGGCTGCGCGTACAGGATGACGGCCGCCTCCTCGTTGTGCATGATGTGCACGTAGGTCTCCTTGAAGTTCCAGCTGTGCACGTTGAGGCTGAAGAAGTAGAGGCCACCCAGGGGGGCAACAAAGTGGCCAGCGGCCAGGTCAAAGTGCCCATCCGGGTTGACGAAGACCGTGTCAAAGAGCAGTGGCTGGAAGCCCTCGCTGCTGTGCAGCGCCGTTTTCCGGCCCACAGAGAAGGCTGAGAAGCGAGTCTGGCACGGGCTGCCAGGGCTGCCCACCTGCCCCTTGTCACCCTTGGCGCCCTGCGGGCCTCGCTCTCCTGGGGGACCCTCCCTGCCCAGCTTCCCAGGTGTGCCCAGCAGGCCTCGGTCCCCTTTGTCACCTGTGGGAACAAGGGAGAAGTCAGGGCAGAGAAGCCAGGCCTGAATGAAGCGGGTGCCTACACTTGTTTGCTCCTGCCCAGAGAAGAAAGGCAGAGAAGAAGCCAGCATTTGTTGAGTACCTACTGCACGCCAGGCATCGCCCACCTGACTATTTCCACTCACAGAGAGGTTAAGTGGCTCACCCAGGGTCACACAGCTCAGTAGCAGGAGATGCAGGACTCCAACTACAGTCTGTCTCCACACCTGCCTATCCCTGTCCCCTACCGGCAGGGAAGGTCCCTCTGAGGCTCTGGGAAGTCAGGCCCAGCCTCCCACCCCGACCCAGGGAAGGGAGATGCTGCACACATCCACACTCCAGTGGGGATGGGGAAGTGCAGGGTGCACTCTGCATGTCTGACCCAGAGAAGGAACCAAGGAAAATGCCTCTGCCCATCTGGAGGGAAACACCCCAGTTAGGAGCCAGGCAGCCCTTGGCTGGCATTATACTCCACTGTGTGACCTGGGCCATTTCATGACTGGGATGTTGGCTGTTTTGCCTGTATCTTGAAAAGCATCATGCCAACCTCACTGGGGTGTTCATGAGCCCTCAGCAAAATGCCGCATGGGAAAGCGCTCTGCAAACTGCAAATACAAAGCAGATGGTTCACCCAGAGCTGCTTGGCCCAGCTCCACTGCCCTGGGGTCTAGCAGCAACTAACCCAACCCTCAGGCAGACACACCCCTGCCCAGCCCTTGTTCCAGGCTGACCTTGAACACAAGAAGCAGGTGGCCACCTATGTCTTGAGAGACTGCTTGAATATTTCCCTGCTGCCTGTCACAGAGCCTGAAATGCACCATGAGCCACACCCCTTTCAGTGAACTGCATGGCCAGCCCTGTGTTTTCCTGGGGTCCCCTAGGACCATGGCAATACTGGAAAGAGTGGAGGAAGGGGCCAAAAGGAGGGTACAGGACCTTGGAGGAGAAGCCTGGAGAGAAGGGGGAGGAGGGGAGGGAGTCCACAGCTCTACAGAGGTCTGGCTCAAAGGCTTCATTGGAGAACTGCCTCATCATGTGCAGCACAGCACTTTACAGTTTGCACAGCAATGGCTTCACCCAGCCCCAAGGGAAGAGGTGAAGAGTGGTTACAGGAGGGGGTTACCTTCTCCTTTGTACTAACAGGGCAGCAAGCCCAGGGAGGGAGAGACCAGCCTGACCCACACAGCAAGGGAGCCGAAGACCTGGGGCTGGGACCTATGACTCCTGAGTCCATCCAGGTGCCTTCCATGATAGCACACTGCCCACTTGCCCCACAGGCAACTAAGCTGACCCAGGAGCAGTGACATGGGGTTTGGGGGGAGGATAGTGTGGGAAAAGTACCATCAGTATCCAGGCACCTCCTCGGCCTTACACAGAGGGCTCTGTGAGCCTTGGGGAAGCTGTGATTTATTAGGTGGCAGGGAAAGGGGGCGGGGGCGAGGAAGGTAAGTGTCCTCACCCAGAAAACCCAAAAGACAAGGAAGGTCTCAGACACCAGCCCACACCTGGCTGTGGGGTGGAGTGGCTCTGGGGAGACCCTAGGGATAGATCCCTACTCTACCCCTGACAGCTGTGTGACCCCAGGAGAGCTCCTCCCCTCTCAGAGGCTCAGTTTCCCCATCTGCAAAATACCAACCTTGGGGTTGTTGAGAGCAAAGATGGAGGTTAAGGATGCCGAGGGCCTGACCCCAGCCCAGCAGAGCACAGTCCCCAGCAGCAGAAGCAGCTTCCTTCAGGTCTGACTTAGAGGACAAGGAGACAGCGCTCACCTGAATGGCCCCAGTGGCCCTCCACAGGTCTCCCTGCTTCTACCCTTGTCCCCTGACATCTAGACTCCATGGGACATTAGAGGGATCCATTTGAAACCTAAGTTGGATCAGGTCTCTCCTCTGCTCAAACCCTCCCCTGCTCCCCATCTCACTCAGAGAAGAAACCCAAGTCTGATCTGGGCCCTGTTTCATCTCCAACTTCAGCTCCTTCCCTTGTCTGTGTTCCTTAAAAACCCCAGGCCCACTCTTACCCCAGGGCCTTTGAACCTGCTGTTCCCTCTGCCTGGAATGCTCTTCCCCAGATACACATGGTTTCTCCCTCACCTTTTCAGTAAGGACTCACCACCCTGTTTGATGGGCAATGTGCCCCTATACCTGCACTCCAGATGTCCCTTACCCGGCCCACCTTGTCATCTCCATGGCATTTACTACCATTGAACATTCTGTCCCACTAACTTGGGTAATATGTCTATTGCTATCTGCCTCCCCCACTAGAATGGAAGGAAGCTCAATGGCAGTAGGTGTTCCTGTCTGATTTGTTCATGCTCCGGCCCCAGAATTCAGAAGAGTCCTGACACATAAGAGGTGCTCAATTAATGTGTGAAAGAAAGAATCTGAAACCATTTTCTGTCCTGGTTTCTCCTACTTCCTCCACCTCACCTCCCCAGGCCCAGTAAGAGACCCTCATGCCCTCCCTGTGCCCGACCAGGCCAGGCCAGCCTGAGCCATGCATGGGTACTCACCCTTCAGGATGGTAATGTTAATATAGGGCCTGACCTCAGGCAACACATATGGAAGGGCAGATGGAGAGGCAGAGGACACATCTGCAGCATCGGCAGGGGCCAGGGGGTCCTCAGAGTCACAGCACAATCGGCAGCGCCCAGGGGGATTGGAGGTCACAGCTTCCCCAGAGGTGTGCTGCTCCGTGGGGACCCCAAACACCAAGAGAAGGAGCAGAGGCACTGTCCAGAGAAGGTCCGTGGCAGCTGTCCCCATGGCGACCTGGAGCAGGGAAGGAGGAACAGACACTATATTTAACTTAACATCTCCACTGTGCCCATGCGCGGCACAAATGCTGCCACCCACAGCAAGTGCATTCCTGACATAACTCGGGGAGGGAGCATCAGTGCCCCCATTTAACAGACAAAAACACTGAGGTCTACACAACTTCAAGGTCACAGAGACTTGTGGCAGGGCTGGGGGCTGAGTCTCCCAGAAGGAACCCAGTCCCTGGAGGCTCTGCCACACAAGGTCCCCAAAGAAGGAAGCTCCTCTAAAGAGCCACAGCCAAGAGCAGAGGAGGCCCCTGGGGGACCTTTGCTGGGGTGGTTGAGGAAGATGCCCCAGCTGCCCCTGTGTCATAACCACTGAGACTGTAAGATGTTCTTCCCACACTCCTACCTCCCTCTGGCTTGCTTTCTGGCCACTGACAGGTCAGAGGGCCCTTGGGACAAACAAAGGATTCTGCAGGCTTGCTCTTTAGGAGAGGCTTGAACACAATGGTCCTGACAAAGGAGCTAGGAAAGTTCTTTTATTCTAGCAGGCAGGTAGCAACTTCCATCAGAGAAAACGCACGGGGTTCTGCATGGTGGTGGTGGTATTATATTGTTGAGCATCAGGGGTGGTGTGCTGAGTCACAGGCTGCAGGTCACTGCTGGCCTACACAGTGCCTTCATGCCAGGCGAACAAAAGAGAGTGCACCGCTGAGGTGGGAGCTGGGAAGGGCTGGTGTCAGCCTACCTCCCCTCATAATCTCTGTGCAGTCAACAACCCACACCCCGGTTCACAGATTCCCTGCAGGGAAGCCTCAGGCGAGAGTTAAATCATTGGAAAGTGGTTGTGTCAATCATATTAGACCTGCCAATCAGCTGCCAAGGTGGTAAATTGGAATTAAGGGGCAGGAGTAGGAAATCTGGAAAATTCAAAAGGATCAGAGAAGGCCAGGATTTGTGAGGATCCATTTTGGCCTTGGCAAGAAAGAAGGGTCCAGAGTTACTGGAGAGGGGCAGGAAGTAGCCTGGACACCAGCCGCTGGAGACAGGCCGGGGCTGGGTGGGCAGGAAGCCGGGCAGAGCCTTTGAGGTATCAGCAGTCTTTGGGGGCTGGTGCGGAGTTATCACAGGATCAGAAACTCGGCTTTTGAAACTAGACTGGTTTTTACACTTCTGGCGTTTCTTTGTTTATTTCCTTTTTGCTCTCCTTTAACATTTAGTACAATTCAAAAATATTTTTTTGTGGTTAATACATGTAGAGAAGGTAAAATTATTATTTTAAATGCCATCTTATCTCTGCGGAGCACTGTGGTAAGGTCTAGGTTTTAAAGGGGCAGAGACCCTCCTTTAAACACCTTCCCCTCCCTGGGGCAGGCCAGTAGCAGGAGAAGGGGGGGGTGCCAGGCAGTCTCTCAAGCCATCACCCCCTCCTGGAGGTGACCATTCCCAGCTCCTCTCTCCCTGCCCTGCTCTGGTGTCCTGGTTCTGCTCAGTAAGGGAGGTCAAATCCATACAGATCAACATCCTCTCTGTCCAAGATTACCACCTTCACCTTTCATTTGTAAATTATACATCTAAGGGGTTTTGAGAAAGGCTGAAAGTCCCCCTTTTTCCTGGCCAGAATGCGACCTCATGGGAAAAGGTGAGGCCTTAGAGTCAGACTTGAAATCCCAAACTAGTTAACAAGCTGTGTGACCTAGGGCTCGTGGCTAACCCTCTGGGTTTCCTGTTCCTTGACATTTACAAGATGACACCCTAAATGCAGGGAAGTTGGCTGACCTGTAAAAGACTCTTAATAAAAAGTGTGTTCCTTCTTTCCCAACATGACCTCCTCCCAGTGCCTGCCCAGGACAGTGCAAGGAAGAGCAGAACTTCCAGAGCACCGGCTGGGTTTGGGGACCTTTCTGTTGGCTCTAGCCAGAGGACAGTCAAAAGCTCTAAGACATAAACTGTGACCTGCCGGGCAGGAAGCAGGAAGCAAAGCAGCCTTTAACAAAAGTAATAATAATGACAGCCTGGATCACTGACTGGCCAGGGAGGAGGGTGCCAGGCAGGGAGTATGAGGGACCATGCCATTGGGGATGGCTAGGGGGTCCCTACTGCCTCCGCTTGGGAGCTGGGATCTCTCCAGGGTGGGGGAAGGGCCAGACCCTTAGAATTGAGCTGGTCTGTGTCCCAGCCGGGGTGGGCACAAGCCAGGAGCAGCAGAGAGCAGCCCTTCACCAGGGGCTAAGGTCTCAGTCACAGGAGGGAATGGGGAAGGGAGAGCCTGGAGGGGCTGGCCAGCGGCAGAGGGATAGTACTGGGCCTGAGGTATGTCCAGGAAGAGAGGAGGGAGGAGAGGAATTCCAGCCTCTGACCCCAGCCTCCTCGGTGGGTGGCCCTGCCATGGGAAATGCAGGACCTCCATCACTCACCCTGTGTCCTGCAGCCTCGCCCAGCGGCTCATAGACCCGGAGCCTCGGGTCAGCTTCTGGCTCCTTGGCCCATGTCTGCAGTAATAACTTGTTGCTGGCCCAGACCCCCAGGCTTAGCCGAGGAGGGAGGGAGTAAGGGATGGAGGCAGGGCGAGAGGGAGGGAGGGCGGAGGGAGAGGGCTGAGCTGGCTTCCCACTTCCCCTCCTCCCTGCTCCCTCCCCTCCAGCTGCTGGGTTCTACGGAGATAATGGGAGCTCTGGATTGCCTTTGCTTAACTCTTTGGTGGTTCGGTGGGGTCTTGTTGGATTCACAGACCCAATAAAGTTAGAGCTAGAGGGATCTGAGGCCCCTGATATGCTGGCAGGGAGATTGAGGTGGGGAGAGAGGGGGGCAGAAGCCCCTTAAGTTGCTCAGGAAGGGTAAGCAGCTCTGGAATCCTGCTGCCAGGGGCCCTCCAGCTTAAGCCAAAGAGTGGAGAGGGCACAGGCAGCTCCGCAGCCTCAGGTTCAAATCCTGGTACCACAGCCCACTCATAGGTGTCTGTAGAACTCCAGTCCCCAGCCCCAGCCCTGCCAGTCACAGGGGAGGCTTGGTCAAGGTCTGCTGCTGGGGCATCAGGGTGGCAGCCAGGTCAAAATCCCACCCCAGTGGATGCTGAAGTCCTCCTCCTCTGCCTAGAATTCTGCCATGATTGATTCATCCTCCTGGTCTTCTAGAGCCAAGGCCCCTGTGGAAACAACCCTCCAGAAGGCCACAGGAGGGCAGCCTATATACTATGCCCCTGGGCCTGGGCAGGGTCCTGCCTCATTTTCCTTCTGGTTAGGCTGCGGAAGGTTTAAAAAGGCTGCAGCCCCAATTCTCTGCAGCCAGAGAACCCTGTGCCTGCAGCACCCTCTCATTCTACATTTGTTGAGTACTTACTGCCTGGACCAGGCCTCTTCTTTGTAGGGGCTTCCAGTACCCAGAGGGTCTTCACATCCATGATTTCAATGAATCCTACCCAGCCTTGGGAGAGGGAGCTGGCATAGCTGGCCCTGGGTCACACAGCTAGTGAAGAGGAGCCACAGCTCTACAGAGCGGACGTGCTCTCCATCTCACTGGAGCTCCCACGCTGGCACAATGGGCATGGTTGTGGGCAGAGGCTGCAGTTCAGGGTCTGTCAGGAGAGAGGAGGTACATGATCACCCTCAGGAGGCGCAGGAGTGCAGAGATCTTAGGGGGATTTACTGAAGTCTGGAGTTTGGGGCCTTGAAGCCACCCAGCCCTCTCTCACAGGTGAGCCAGGTGTGAAGAATGGAACAGCTGCTGGGCTATGTGTCCTTGACCCGCTCTCATCTCTGGGCCTGTTTTTTTATTTGGGGGATAACCAAACAGCCAACTCTCCAGGCCTGGAGGGACTCCTAGATATGATCTAATCCAATTCCTTAATCTGTCCCACAGGGCCACTGTGACCCAGGGAGGACAAGTCTTTGGCTCAAGGTCACACAGCAGATGGGAGTCCAAGCTGGGATGAGAGCAAGACTCTCCCAAAGGCTAGCTCGGTGCTCTTCTTCCTCCCAAACCCACTTGGAGCCCCCAAGCCTATTTAGGGGCCCAAGGGGGCTCAAAGGAAAGCAGATGGAAGGACTATGGCTTCTGGGAAAACTGTCAGGTCCACACTGGCTGTGCCCTCTGTGTGGCCCTGCCCCAGGCAGCACTCCCAGGGCACAGAGCCAGGGCTGCAGAGGGAAGGAGCCAAGGGGAGTCACCCTCCCGCCCTCCCCATTCTGCTGCCACCAGGAAAAGAGCTGAGTCAGCAGCACTGGAAGGGGAGACAGCTGGGTTTTGGCTTAGGAAGCCTAGCATCTGAGAAAAGGGGGAAGGGAAGGGAAAATGGATGGGAGCAGCAGGATGGGAACACAGGAATAGTTTTGTCAGGGCATCTTATGTGGCCAGCACTGTGCTCTGTGCCCACTAAACTGCCCCTGCGCAGGGAAAGCTGCTCATCCCACTTCATGGGTGAGGAGGCTGAGCCCTGGAAAGGCACTTGACTCGCCAGGTTCTAGGGCCAGCTCCTTGGGCCCCCAGCCACATCGATGACCCAGAAAAGGACCCTTTGTCCCCCTGGGTGCAGGGCAATTGTCTGGGGGCAGGGCAGACAAGAGAGCAGGACTCAGAAATATTATACTCTAATATTTTTCCTCCCACTTGAACCATGCCTAAAATCCCTCGGTCTCCCGGTCATTCCAAGGATCTCCCCAGTAGGCCAGGTAGACAGCGCCAGCGCTTGGGCAGACAAAACGGGCTGATGTCTCAGCTCCACCTCCTTCTTGGGGTGTGACCGTGGGCATGTCCTCCTACGTAGCTCTGAGCCTTGGTGTCTCTGGGCATGAGGGACATGAGGAAGGCAAGGCCCCCCCGAGCAGCCTGTGGGACGCCCATGGGGGTGCTCTATCCTGGCCATCCATCAGTGCTTCTCGGTTAAACTCTGAATGTGGGGAGGGGCTGAGCCCACTCTCCTCGTGCACACAGATGAGAAAAATGAGGCGGAGGCTCACTGACTCTCAGACCCAGCTCCTAGCCATATCCACCTCCCAGCCCAGGGTTGGGAGAAAGTTTAAAAATAGTGACATTTAATCCGCGCTTACAACGCCGTGGGAACCCTGCGTGTATTGAAAAAATGAAATGTGTGCCTGTCAGAAAAGCGAGAGATCCAGATGATTCCTGGAGTCAGCTGTGGGAGTTGTGCGACTGGCCAGCCACTGACTCAATTGTTCAAGGACAGTAACCAATGAAGAAGCGAAACAAAGGAAACCGTGAGCGCCACCGGCTGGGGAGAGGACGGCAGCGCCTGGTGGCCGGTGACGCTCACGACCTGGCA